TTCACCCTTAACTCTTTCGGGACAGGTTCCCCATCTCAGTACCGGGGTCCCAGGCTGAGCCCGCTGGTGGGACAGTTGCTCCTGGGTGACCTGTGTCCCGAGCAGGCTGGTGCCTGGGTGCTCTTGGCCATGCAGGTGCCTGGCTGAGCCCATCCCAGCATCGCTGTGTGGCTGAGCACGGCCCCACTGTGGCCATCGCCTCCGGTGTGTGCAGCCGGGCTGGCGCCCTGTGCAGGACAGGGTGGGAGACGGGAACCGACGGGAGCCCAAGGAGGAGAAGAATGTGGAAATTTCCCCCAAAAACATGTTTCATTTCCTTCTAGCGCTGCAGCCTCCAGCCCACACGCCTCCCCCGGCACGCAGCCTCTCCACGCACCAGCGCTCGCTTGCTCTCCCAGCCCAAGGGCTGGTGTGCACCCAGCGGGCGTGCAGCAGGCGCGTGGGCACGCAGTGGGTGCACGTGGGCATGCATTGCACACGCACATGGGCAAAGGGGCTGCAGGCAGAGCCTGGGGAGCAGCAACGCTGGCACTCGCCTGCTCCTGCACCCCACAGCTCCCCAGCAAGGCTGCGGGGTCCCTGCCCTTGGGGGCTGGGGCTGGACACAGCCACGCACGGGGCCGTCCCCTGTGGGTGCTGCAGCCCCTAACCCATCCCGCACCGGGCAGCTTTCAACTCCCTGGTGCCTCCTTCCTGGCAGAGAGGTTGAGCACCCGCCACCGCGTCCGTGACACGGGGCCGACATCACACGGGCACGGGGCCGAGTGTGAGGGCTCCTTCTGGGACCAATTTTGTTCAAAGCCCGTGGCACGTTGCATCGGTTAGTGGGACGCACGGTAGATGAGAAGCAGACGGCAGCCTGCCCTGCGCACGGGGCGAGTGCAGGGAGCGGGGAGCTGGGCACTGGGTTTGAAGGATGGTTTCCACCATGGCCAGTGCCGGGCTCCCGTCTCCGGCGTTGCCCTGTCTCCGGCGTTTCCCTGTGGCGGTGCCGGGTCTCTGCTGCTGCAAGGTCCCAGCAGTCATGGAAGTCCCCTGGGTGCAAGGGGGCTCCCGCAGCCAGGACAGATGCTGAGCCCAGGGGAAGGGTGCTGCCTCCAGGGTCCCAGGGGCCTGCTTTGGTGGAGAAATCTGGTGCCAGTGCCTTCTGGAGCGGTTCTGGGGGGTCACCCCAGCACCTTTCTCCCTTCTGAGCCCTTATCTCACCCAGGACGCCCAGCTCTGAAACCCCAGTGCATCAGGTCCTGCGCTCAGTCTTCTTAAATGATTTTTAATTTCCTGGAGGGAAAGCTTTTAATTTATTTCTGGAACAAAGTGGGGGAAGGGGAGGGGAAGATGACTCTGAAATCCATCACTAAGCCCCCTCCACCTCCAAACCTTCCCTTTCTCCCTGCCCCCAAAGGGATCAGCCCAGCCCTCCCCGGGTCCCCACGTCCCCTCTCTCCTGCGCCCCGGGCTGGGGCTCCCCGCAGCCATCCCCGCCAGCGGCATCCTTGGGCCGAGGGGCAGCTGGGGCTGAGGGGACGGCTGGCTCGCAGGGAAGCGGAGCTGTTTTCATTGCAAGCAGCAAATCCCTCTGGTCTCCATCAGATACAGATAATCCTGGGGCTGGGGGTGCTGGGCTGAACCTGAGCTGCCCCAGTACAAACCAACCCCAGCAAGACAGACCCCTGCAACCGCTGCCTCTGGCTCCCTCCGCGAACCCGGCACCGACCCGGCTCCCGCCATGGCCGGTATTTGGGGGAGGAACCCCCCAAACACGGGGCAGGTTCCCGCCAGCGCCAGTGGAGCTGGAGCCAACGCGCAGCAGGTTTGCAGCAGGCTCCGGCACATCCACACCCACCGGCCCCGCGGGAATTCCTGGGGTGGGGACGAGTAAAGCCGAGAGAGGAGCAAACCCCGCTCCTGCCCCGCGAGCCAAACTTCAGCTGAACTCGTAGTTTCCTTCTCCTTGTAGAAGTCTAAACCAGTGATGAAAAAGGCCTGTTTCAGATGTGCCTCCTCTCGGTAAACCGCAGGAGAAGGTCCCAGAACGGATGAAACTTTCCTCCTTGCTCTCAGTGATGAATATTTTGCTTTGCTTTGAGTTCAGGCCCCGAATGGGAGCGAAACACAAACCAGCGCTAACACGCAAACACTCAGCTCCAGGCAGAGCAGAGCAGAGCCCAGTGCTTGCCCAGACTCTTTTTTCTTTCCTGCCCATTCGCAGACATGTCTGACTCAGTTTCTGCCTTTCCTGTGCGACGGGAAGGTTTTGTTTCTTTAATCTCCAGCTTTCCTAGGAGGAGCGCCGCAGCCCAAGTGCCCCAGTTACAGCTCTCCGTCCTACCCCACCGATTTCTCCTCGATGGAGGTGTCGAAGCCTTTGGGGCTGGAGCAGCCCGGAGCAGGAGAGGCTGCCTAGGGGCCTGTCAGGCAGATGGGAAGTTAAAAGAACTTATTTATCCCTTATTAGCGTTATTCCACTGCTCCGAACCCTTGCAATATCATGGAGGAACATCTGCTCTCGGCGTTTCTCCCCCATGTCTCAATTCCAAGAGTCCAGAGCTTTGGAGAGGATCTTCACCCACCCTGAAAGCACCTTCATCCCCTCCTTCCTCCCCCTCGGGGCGGGTGGGAGGTGCTGAGCCCTCGGAGGTGAGACTTTGGTCAGGGTGGGCTTGGGCTGCAGAGCCCTCGGGGTGATGGTGCTGTGCTCATGCCACGTCTATCCCAGAGCTACCACGGGACGCTGGTGAAGGCCACATCAGATGGACCCAGCAGGAGATGAGACCGTCCCCGCTCGGGGCAGCTCTGCAGGCAACGGGGGGTCTGCGGCACCCCGGCAGCCCCCGCCCCGGCTCCCAGCCCCAGGCCACCGGCCTCGCCGCCGCGCAGTGCCTCTCCCCCGCCCTCCCCCAAACACGCACCCCGGCCCCACAAAACCTCTTTATCTACCCAAACGCTCATGGTGCTTCATGTGACCCCGCTGTGCCGGCCCGGTGCCCGTGGGAGCCGTTTGATGTCGCTGAGCCTTTTCCTTTCCCAGCGTGCGGACACCCCGGCTCTGGGCGAGGGGAATAAAGGCCCCATTGAGAGCGGGGGTCCCACCGTCCCCGCGGGGACCGGCTGAGGCTCACGGGGCCCACGGGGCCGGGGCCGGTTTTGGGAAGGAGCTGCCGTGTCTGACACCCGGCCGCCCTGCCCGTGACGGGGTGGATGCACCCACACGCACCCACCCCGGCGCACGGCCCCGCTCCCACCCCACGGGCGGTGGGGTGCTCCTTCCCACGGCCCCCTGCCCCCTCGGAGCCTCTCCCACCCTTCTCCCTGCCCGTGCTGACACGCGTGGGAACGTTCCCCCTTCCCTCCAAGGCCAGGCAGACGCGGGAGGAATTTCCCGTGGGATGCTACGGATGCGTGCCGAGGCATGGCACGTACAGAGGGATGCACAGCCACGTCCGTGCGCGGCAGCCCCCGGCAGCGGCCGCCC